CCTATTTTCGGAAACTCCCAAATGATCTTGTTCTGCCTGCCAGCTCGGTGTAGGCAGTGTAGGCAGGTTGACAGTCGCACGCGTGTTTCGGCTTCGTGCAGGTACCTGCTCAAGGCCGGTGGGCAGCTGGCAAGGCGAGCGGAGGCCCCCGCCTAGCTCGATGTGACCCTCGAGCCTTCACCGACTCAGGTGCTGAGCCATGTTCCCGAGTTTTTTATGCGGTCGGGTCCCTAGAACTCAGCAGTGCTGGACGCGGGCTTCTGCTGGTTCGCGCTGGGTACGGCAAGAGAGTCATGAGGGTGATGAGTTGAACGTCCTGAACGCACGATGTTTGTGGGGCTGCCTGCGCAACTTTGAAGGCAACTACTCGGAGAACGGCAGCAGCGCAGACGCCGCTTTGGATCGGCTGCTCTCCAGCTACAAGCTTCCTGTCTGCATCGGGGCGAGTTTCTCGGAGCGATCATGAGCGATCATGCCTGGAGAAGGCACAATAAAAAGTTCGGAGTACGCAGCGCAGCTTCCATTTCCCAGCCCTCAGACGAGTCCGAACTTGTGAATTTAATTTGTGCATACTGATCATAAACATGTCAATTCTTTTTATTTATCAGCTGCGCCAAGGAAGTTGATTGTTGAAGGCGGATACGTGGACACCAAGACAGAGACAGGCGCCGTGTTGAGTTTACGGTAACCGCAAGTAGAAACAGAGGCCATTCAGATGCTACCTCCGGGGCGCACCTAATTTCCTTCGTTGACATATCTCTGGGCTGAGGCAAGCATGCAACTGACAACTCATGTTCCAGCCGCAACCTCCCTGCGCAAGGCTTCAATGCCACAGCGATTTTTCTGGAGAGCCGCTTCCTGAAGATATCCTGCTGTGCCTTTTTTGTATCGTTTTTTTTTTTTTTTTTTTTGGCTTACTCTGCGAATTGGACCTGACTTGCAGAGCCAGGTTTGGAGGCAACAGCCCGAAGTTTGCGGCTGGATCCTGCTTCCCGATCGCGGGCTTCCCAGTTGAGGTCAGATTTCGCAGGCGGTTCATGCCAGGACCGGCAAGCAAGCCGACACGTGCAAAGTCAATACAGATCAATACTATCAGAGTTACTATCACCTCAACTCTTGAAGGAGGCGGGTTTCAGGAAAGTGGAGGGGTGCATCCTAACGCGAACTTCAACTTCCAAGCCCGAGAGATGCCAGAGGTATCGCTCCAGCTTCACGATCAACTATCGTGCACTTTTTCCAGACGAGCCGCTTGGTCGAATCAATGATGCAGACGAGCCCGGCTCTAGGAGAGCCCTCAGTTACTTGGAGGTTCATGGGTAGTTATAAGCATGGTTATACGTCCCCTAAAGTGGGTTATAATTATAGTTACCCTACTTATAACCCCAATGATAACTACCCATGAACCCTCCAAATGACTCGGAGCTCAGGTCTCGAAACTATCGCGTCGACATCCTTGAGGCCAGCATTGAGCAGAACGCAGTCATTTGGGCCCCTCGGCAGCCTTTGAGGCGCTTGGGAGTGCTTGGATGGACATGGGGGTTTCCGAAAATAGGGGACCCCTAATATAGTACCCCAAATAGTAGGATCCCTGTTATAAGGACCCCCAAATAAGGTACCCCTTCTTTTCGGAAACTCCCACGTGAGAGCTCAGAGCCCGAGGTTAATGGTGACAAGTTCGAGTTCAGTCAGGAGGCTGGATGGGAAAGGAGACCTGCTTCACAGAATGGGGGGATCTTATGCGTAGCGCCATGGCCACACGCTTTCCTTTTGAAATTGCTGCGAGTTCGCCCAAGTCTCTTTGTGACAATTTCGTGAGTGCAGATGACCTTTGTCAATGTCAAAAAGGCCATGCAGTGCGCAGAAGACCTTCAGCGCGGATGGTCTGACATGTGCTTGCTCCTAGACCGTCGGGAGCTCCAGTTGAGACCCTGTCACGTTTGTGAAAGGCATGTGTGGGTAGTTCTCTAAATTAGGATCCCTTTTAGGGTCCTTTTTATAAGGGACCCTAATTTAGACAACTACCCATGTGCTTGGCTTGTGCCCAGGCTGGCAGCCGGGTGCAGGAGGTGATCGCCCTGAGCGAACAGAGGTGCGCTCAGCCTTGGCCAGCACCTTAAGGAACATCACTGCGGGAAGGTGTAAGGATTTTCTGGTGGCTGCATCATCTTCTGCGCAGTCTGCGTCCCTCACCGTGTGGCGGCTGCTTGAGGTGGCTTTGGATGCTGCATGGGCATCTTTCGAGAAGAAGTATATCAGTGAACTGATCCAGATTGAGGATCAGGCCAATCGGAGCTCAAGCGGGTGTTGGAGACCCTCTGCATAAGTCTGACGGCTTGGTTGATTGAGCTTCGCAGGCCCGCAAGTTGATCGTCCAGGCGGTGGAAAGCGAAAGGCGGCATAAATCCCTGGCTTGGACATACTGCTGAGTGAGAGCAAAGTATGTGCGAATGAAGGGGTACAGTTTGAGAGTCACTTGGAGGTTCATGGGTAGTTATAAATGGGGTTATAAGTAGAGTAACTATAATTATAACCCATATTGGGGGACTTATAGCCATACTTATAACTACCCATGAACCTCCAAGTACAGTTTGAGAGTCAGCCTCCTTGGAAGGCGACTTCGGGATCTGGAGGCGCGGTTTGGAGAGACAGAGGCCCGCGAGCTGCAGCAGGAAGCACTATTGCAGTGCGTACTACTTGGAGGTTCAGTAGTTAGTAGTTGTAAGTGGGGTTATAAGTCCCCTAATGTAGGTTATTACTAGACTAACTACAGTCACCATCTTTTACCCTACTCATAACCCTACTTATAACTACCCATGAACCTCCAAGTATCTGCAATGCACAGGCGCTGCTGGCACGCCCAGAGTACCAGTCCGAGCAGAGGCAAGGCTTAGAGTCTTGAGATTGCTCTGTATGCTGTATCTAAGGACTTTAGGAGGGACCCCTAATAGGGACCCTTAACCCCAATAACCTACAGGGGTCCCTATTAAGGGTCCCTCCTAAAGCCCTTAGACTGTAGGTCCGCTGTAGGTGCTTTACGCTGTATTTAGTGGCAGCAGCTGTTTGCTTCTGCGTGCTGGTAGGAAGCTAGTGGGGTCCATCTCGTATTTGAACTCAGCCGCGATCTCAGCACCGGCAGGCGCCTATAGTCACATGCACCATGACATGATTCGAGGTTGCGAATTTCCGCCGAAAGGGTCGCGATGACCTCCCGGCAGACGTTCTGCAGCTTGGCCAGGGAGCACTCGGCAAATCCAGTCAAGAAGCAGCCGGGAAGCTGCCCTCTGTTCGGCAGCTGGATGTGCCCGGCTTCTCTTGACTTTGCGCAAGGTTCGATGCTGTGCGGACTATACAGCGCTGTGATGCAGCCGAAAGGACGTCGGAGCACATCCACTCTGGCATTGGATGAGTTGGTTGATGGCATGCCCAGTGTCTGTTCTGCTTTCGGCAAGGAATGGGCAAAGCACCGAGCTGTCTGCAGCAGCAAGAACTCTCTGCGGTGACGTCGTGGAGCTGCTTGGGCGATGACAATCTCTTTTGGCTTGGGCTTTGGCTTCGTGCGTCCCAGCATCTTCGCATCCCGCAACCTGTACACAGAGAGTAAGTAATCAATCCGAGTCGCATTCAGTTTCGCAGCGACGTTCTTTTCACGGCTCTGCCTCCCACACGTTCCTGTAGCGTGGTGGCGTCGCTTGCCGGGAGGTCCTTTGTGGCCATGCGGTTTTACCTGAGAGAGATTGGCAAGTGCCCCTGAGCGGCAAAGAAGGAAGACGAAGACATGGAACAGCCCTTTCTCTGTCAGTGTCTCTGTCAGTGTCTCTCTATCTGTCTGTCTGTCTGTCCGTTTGTATACGCTGTCTGTCGCTCTGAGGCCTCGAAAGAGTCGACCCGCATCTTTGCAACAACGCCGGTCTCGTGACGAGATTAGTGGCCGCTCGGATGCCTTCAGCGACTCCTGGGCCCTGGGGGAGTGGAGAGTCAGTCGGGGAAAGTCGCGGAAGCCGGCGATTTCTTGCTCTGCTTGCGCCGAGGATTGGGAAGAGAGCTGGGAAGTGGGCGCACGCTATGTTCAGAACGAGCAGCTCTTGCTTCTTTGATCATGAATGGGGCGTTGAAGCAACTGCTCATGAGTATTGTCTTCAACTGGAAGATTTGAGCAACTAAACACTTGCAGACCCGTGAGGAACGGCATTTGCGATCTGGTCGCTGAGATTCGCCTAGCTCAGCATGTGGCGCCAAATCTGCGAACCATGTGCAGCTTGGCTTCGGGATCGTGCCTTTTTTAGCTGATGATGGGTTGAGCCTTCGTTTGTAAGACCTATGGCCTATGACCGTTTATGCGCAGGTGAAGAGTGCGATGTGGACCTGTTCCTGGTGATGCCACGAGTCATTTGGTTGCGGGGCTTGATCAAGCCGCATGGTCAGATACAAGTGCCTTGGAGACACTGGAGCTGTTTTTACTTGCGAACGTCCTCACAGAAGTATTCTCCAGAGCTCCACATCAATCCTGCAAAGGTCTTCAAGAGCTTGCTCCCACATCGGTTTCTTGATCCACCGCTAGTGGGCGACGCCTGGAATGTGGATACTGAACTAGCCAGCTTTGCCGCTAGGCAGCAATGCCTCATCTAATTCGTTTCTCACATGCTCTTGTGCCGACGAGCCCGTTTGGAAGACGTTCAGCCAAGGTGGAGTTTTTCAAGGCAGTCTATGCAACATTGATGAGCAACTGGCGGTCTGCGTCACGCGTGTCCGAGCGGGCAGCGTGGGATGCTTGGAAGCATGCAGTGGCAGTGGTGATCGGTGGTTCGGGGTGGGCCTACGAGGGATTCAGCTGTATTCCGCCCTTTACTTGGAGGTTCATGGCTAGTTATAAGTATGGTTAAAAGTCCCCCAATATGGGTTATAATATGGGTTATAAGTATAGATACCCTACTTACAAACCCGTTTGTAACTACCCATGAACCTCCAAGTACCAGCTATGCATTTACGGCACGTCTCAGGAGATTCTGGTGAAGCGGGCTTGGAACTTAGACTCAGACACTCAGAAGTTTTGACTGAAAAAGATAAGCTTTTGTCGTGATGAGGTTGTCAACGGCGACGGCGAGTCTGATAAAGAGGACGGACAAATCAGATCGTGAAGCCTGCTTGACTGAGGGCAGTTCTATTCCAGGGCGCTGCCTTTTAAAAACTCATTCGCGAGATGCTTCGAGATATGCTGACACTGTTTGAGCGCCTCATTTTGCTGAAGTTTATCACCTGTGATTGAGGGCTCTCTGAGCCTTTGGGCTGCAGGACATTTATGGTGTCCTTGCTGGTGGAGTCAGGGATCAAGCCGAAGCAGCAGTGGAGGAGCTCCTACTGTAGCACATCCGTGTCGCATCCTTCCGTCCTCGGCGCCCTCCTCTGTCCACAGGGCATGCGAGGGAAGCGGGGTGATTTTGTGCTTACTTGGAGGTTCATGGGTAGTTATAAATGGGGTTATAAGTAGGGTAACTATGGTTATAACCCATATTAGGGGACTTATAACCATACTTATAACTACCCATGAACCTCCAAGTATTCCAGGAGTTGGTGAACAAGATGGAAGGCTGGAGATGCCCGGACTGCACCTAGCGACCTTGTGAGACGAGCCACCAAAAGGGAGAGCAGAAAGGCTGAAGCTCCACCCACTGTCACTCAAGGCATGGAGCTGCAGAGACACTGTGCAGAAGACTGGAACCAATTCGCAGGGATTCTCATACAATGCTTGTCTGGGCCCTAGGGGTTCCACGACTTCCACATGTGTAGCAGGCGCATGCCACGAGCCGGACAGCGACTGTTGTCCGTTGTGTGTAAGGTCTGGAGAAAGAAAGAAAGATGCATCGCAGATGCAATTTCAGGCATCGAATGGGGGCTCCACTTGTGCAATCCCTTGAAATCTAGTGCCAGTGCCGATCATGCTGCGCGAGGTTTGACGGCGTACTTCCATGCCCGACGGAAGGACATCATCAGTCAATTCATGATTCGGTGTAGCATGTTCGACATTTTTCTGCCGCAGCCTGCCGCTGCTGAACGCTTGCAGTTGGTTTCCAGAGGAGCTCCATTGGCTCCACTCGCCGCAGACTGTTGGGGTTGTGATCCATTCGTGCCTTAAAGGCATTGGATTCCCCGTGTCACCGTAAAGTGTGGCAGGTCCCTCTCCGAATGTTTAGATCAAGACTCAGAGCCTGTGATGCTTACAGCTTCGGCTGCAGCCTTCAAATGGAACTTGAAAACGCAAACGAATTTCAGCTCTGAGTTTTTTCATTACGCACGCTCGCAACTGCCACGGGCTGAAGTGGTTGAAGCCGGCCCTGGTTTTAGCCCAGTGAGTTGGAGTACCCTGCGTATGTAGCTTGTCCGACTTGCTCAGATATACACTCCGTCGTCCGAGGCGGGGCGGCGTATGCTGTTTTAGCGAAACCATTCAGGGATGAGGACAAGTGATTTGTGTGTGGATCTGCGTCTCACATCCCCAATGTTACTATGACATCCACGCCTGCGACGATGGCATGGCACCGGATGTCTGCAGACATTGGCCGGACGATTTGCATCTCGACCTGACAAGAAGGCGGGAGAAGCAACCTCTGAGTCGGGACAGTGCCGTGCCACGGGCAAAGCGAGTCGACTTCTTTCAGAAGCTTTCGTTGCCCTTACCAGAGGAGTCTGATATGAAGCTTGTCTCGGAGGTTTCGTAAGACTGGCTGCTTGGCTAAAGGCCAAGGTGGCAAAGTATACAGGGTTGGTTTACGCAGTCTGACAGAAACCAGGTGGAGAATGCAGTCGCAACGAAGCACGCCGAAACCCTTTCCAGAAATACGAGTGTCTTTGTGGGTGTTTGTTTGACTGTCTTTGCTGTTGCTGCTGTTCACAGCCTGCACCACCTGAATGCCAGGCTATCAGAGTGTAGTCATGGCTGCCTGAATGTGTAAGCCATTGGTCGGAACATGTCTCAAGGTGCTCAAAGCACTGGTTTAAGTTTTGCCGTTCGTGATGGCACAAGCCATTTGCGCGACAGGACGCGAAGATGTGGGAAACATGAGATGTGCTCTGCTTGACAGGGTCCCGTACATGTAGTTGTGTAATTAAGTGGGACGAGCCTATCGCCCGTAGACGTAGGGATCTCCTGCAAGTTAGGCCTCAGTTCAAACCAAGTGCGGGTGAGTTGAGGCTGCATCTCTCGGCACTGGTCTCAGAAGAGCAGTGTTCATGCCTCGATCTGGCGCGACACTGTACCTCGTGCCCAAGGCCATCGACGGCAACTGGCACCTTCCTTTCTGGAATGCTCGCGGTTATTGGAGGCTTGCTTGTGCGCTTTTGTCACATACAGCAGCAAAGAAACCTAGAGCCGGGTGGTATGATACCAGCAATCGATATTTAGAGACATGTCGGGGGGGGGGGGGGGGGNNGGGTGTTTGGGGTATGCTTCCACCGAGCCCCTGTGCGGATTAGGCTAGCAGGGCAGGCCGAGCGGAATGACGCACGAAGCACCCAGCAGTTATGGAAGTGAGAAGCAGCTTCAAGCAGCTACAGCAAACTGCCTGCATGGTCGGTACTGGTACTTGCATGTTCCCGCGATCGAATACACACTGCGGGAGACCTGGCATATCCTGGTCTCCGAACTCAGAACCAGAAGACATATGAACAGTTCGAGCGAAATCTGGGCTTGGACATGCGGTGTGGGTTGGCGGGGTCGAGGGCTCCCCGTAAGCATGCAAGGTTGCAGGAAGGTTTTAGGTTAGAGTGTGCCGCTTGCAGCCTCGTCCCCATTTTGATCCGTCTTGATTTGCAGCTGTTCATTGTAGCTGAGAGCATCATTGCACACCTTGTGCCAGGCAAGAGATGCGGAGCTTCGACGCTTGAGGCCAGGGGTCAGGATTTGCTGGTCCAATTTTCTAATCCGAGCGATGTGACAAGCCGAAGCACAAGAGCGTCATTGGCGCATGTTAGGGCCTTGAGGCCCGTCGGCCAATAACCAGACAGGCTCGTGACAGCGCGTCTTCAGAAGCCAGCAGCGAGAAGCGACCCCAATGAGAGAAGTGCAGGATACACATATATATATATATGTATACATATGAGAGAAAAGCCTTTAGGGTCTATTTAACCATGCCTAGTCCTGTACAGAAAAGAAAAAACTCAATTAATGTGATGAATTTAGATAATAGACTTGGCTTGAATTCTATGATTTAAATTGTTGAAATTGTTCAAATCTGCCCGGGGATTTAACCAATTTTAATAATAGAATTGGCTTGAATTCTGAATTGCATTGTTTAAATTGTTTAAATCGGCCCTGCGATTTAAACAATTCAAACAATAGAATTCATCTGAATTCTAGTATTTAAATACATTAAGTTATCCCAGCACCGAATCACAGTTCAGTCTGTCTCCAACCAGAATGCGCATGGCGTTTAAAAATTACATTAAGTTGTTTAAATTATTTACATTGATTTAATTCGGTGGGAATCTCCAGATTCCCTTAGTCCTTGGTTCTGGATTCCCGGGTCTTAAAAAATTACACAGTTTAATTACATTAATTAGTTTAAATAATAGAAATGGTTGAATTCTATTCATTAAATTGTTTTAATTATTGTCATCCGCCCGAGGATTTAAACAATGTAAATGATAGAATTCAGATGAATTCTATTAACTACATTGTTTTAACTGTTTAAATCGGTCCGGAGATTTAAACAACTTAAGATTTGTGCGCATGAGACAGTGACTGCAGTCTTTTTTGGCTTCAGTTCTGTAGCTCTGCCATGGCTTCTAAAAGGAAGTACCGTGATGCAGAGCCTTTGTGTCCCAGCTGCAGGCCTGTCGGTTGCATTCGCACCGCATGTTGCCGCCACCGCCTGCATTTCGGAGAGGCGAGCATGGGCTAGCGTGACATACATACCTGTGTGACATATTGTGACATCAAACCTGGCTGTCAGGATGGGCGCACTGACAGTCGTTGGTGTATGCCTGGCGCGCAGAAACCCGGACGGCCGAAAGCTCTACATCACCACACCGCCGCCGGAGCTGTGGGCCCTCCGCTCGTTTGACACCCGTCAGACATGCGCGCTCGGCAAAGACGTGCCTAGTGCCAGACACGGCGGCGGCAAGCCGTCCGGAAGAAGTCTAAGCCGGCTCCACTCCCTCCTCCACACACACCCGTCTGATCCTGAAAGCATGCGACGGTCATGCCTCAGTCATATAGCAGCCCGACACACCAGGCCTCAATCCTTCGACGCCAGAGCGTCAACGAGGAGACAAGCTTGGTTTTGTGTGTAAGTTGCAGCTTCAAGGCCTCCTGTCATCGCCCTGGATGCAGAGGGAGGGCCAGCGTCTGCTTCGGACATGTCCACACGGCCCTCACAGCACTACCCTATACAGTCTTGTGGATGCTGAAGCCTTCTTGCATGCAGGTGACTGTTCTCAGCTTAAAAAAACCTGAGAAAGCTTCGGTGGCACACTTGCTGAGTCGATGCATCACCAAAAGTCTGCATACGGTGCTTCGCAGAGTTTCCTGGCTTAGGTGGAAAGCGGCTGGGCGGGACTCCGCTTGCGACACCTGTGGCAGGTGCCGCTTTGTCACTATGTCAAGATCAACTAGCCAGATATGTTCTTGCATGTGCCCATAGAGACAGAGAGCTTACAGGCGAGTGCCGACACGCTCATGTCGAGCAGAAACTGCGCCAAATTGGCTTTTGCGTCGAGATGCATCAGGAGAACAATGAAAACAGGTACCGCTGTGTTTTCTCTTTGAAGGAAGAAACAAGCTGTTTTCTGTAGCGTGGGCTTGAGTGTTGCAGCAGACTGCAAGGAACTAGATGCAGCAGACATCACAAACAATCCTACCTGCGTGAAAGACAGTACTACCACATGCTGACAGTCATGTTCATGAGATTTGCGCAATACCGCTATTTGACCAACACCTTCAGCTCCAATGACCGGTCGAAGAGACATAGCTTTCATGTCGTCCAATGTATACACGTAGACCGAAACTATATGAATAAGTAGGGGAGCCTACAGGGACGATGATGGAACTGTCAATTGTCAATGTCATGAAGTGTGAAAGAAGTGAGAACATCGTCGTCTCATGAATAACAAGAACTTGAGGGGTTAATTTACAAGTCAGACTACCACCTGCGTATGAGAGATGTGTTATGGGACAGTCTGCCAGCACAAACGTAATTTCGACTGTCAGGCAAGGCCGTCAACTGGTCACAAGCCAGAAGCTGAAAGATCAGAGGTCGACCTACCTATGAAAGAAGTTAGACCTTGTTACATTCGAGGAAAGACGACATACACTACATGTGTGCGAAACAGGTAAACTTTTCGTCGTCCACCCCATGAAAGTCAGCTACTGAGATGAGGGTGAACTGTGAATTGCATGAAGCAACCTCCGCATGAAACGAGTGAGAAATTGAAACAGACAGTGGGGATCATTGGTTAACGGTGAAAGTCATAAAGCGACTAACAGAGTGAGAATGCATCGTATCCGATCACGTTCCTTCGATTCAATTTCTGGTCCTGAGCCTGAGATGCAAGCCGTTCATGTCAGTCAGTCAGTCGAATATACGCCGGGTGGCATGTGGACACGTAAACTGGCATACCGCACGATTCCAAAGGTGGGGATGTTGTACATGTCTGGTTGTCTCCGGTGGCTTATCAGGAATTGACAGGCTTTTCCCTAACCAATGTGATCAGTTCTCGTCGCGGCCTCCCCCACTTTTCTCGCATACATACTGTGTGGCAGGCTGCAGCGCTCCACAAATAAATGCAGCGATGCGCGCAAGGGTGGTCGTACGCAGATCTCGGCACTTTGCCGAGATGGAAAAATTGTCTTCTGTAGCCGCGGGTAGCAAGCTCTGCGCAGAACTTCCGTATTAGGCACTTTGGAGATATAAACAGGTGGGATGTCAAAAATACTTTTTGCAAGCAACGATTGTAAAAGCCATCAGGACGTCGACGATCCTTGGAAGAAACACAATCAGCTCAAGAAATACATCAGCTTCGATTAACAGTGGCTTTATGTTTGAGCTTTGAATGTTCCGATCCCGCGATCATGAAGAATGCTTCCAAACTTTTGGTTCAACAAAACACCGCTGTGCCATCCCGCTTCCGCGACCAAGGACCAAGTTCATGCCCTGGTAGACCATCGAGACTGAGAACGGATCCCAAAGAGTCGCTTCATGAGCTCCTGATAAGTTCGTTGTATTTCGTTGTTAGATACAACGTACGGATATAGATATGTACGTGTACGTATATATACATATATATAGTATGTGTATACGTTCATGCGTATATCCGATATCGACTAACGACTGAATGCATGCATATTCATGTATGCATGTATGCATGTATGTATGTATGTATGTATGTATGCATGTCTCTATGTCTAAGTGTGTGTGTGTATGTATTCGTATATGCATTTAATTTAATTTGTATGTATATTTGTATGCACATGCCATGTCGAGTAAGCCACCAAGCCTGAAGTGCAAACGACAAAGACAACATGCCCAGAAGAAGACCAAACACAACCAAGCCGTTACTGTATTCCCAGCGCTGAGTGAAAGAGTCGGCCCGGAATCAAAACATATATAGCAAGGGGACTGTGGTGTACGTAAGTGCATACAGAAAAAAGAATTGAATTTAGGGCAAAGAAAGCAGGTGGTTAAATACACCCCAAAGGCTGCGGGCTCATATTTTTTATGTATATATGTGCTTATATATATATATATATATCCTTAAACCCTAAACCTCAAAAGGACGTCCGAAATCGAGCGACGGCTCGAGCCGACCTCGAGCCTTCCATGTCACACAAGAGACTTAATACCGGGTAAAACCACGTGTGATTGCAGCGTCTTGCAGCAAGGTGCTGGCATCGCACCTTGTCTACTAGGTCACTAGATGGTCAGGGCTCGCTTATCTGTGTATGCATACACGTGTTTCCGTTCAGTTGCGATAGAGTCCGGATCAGACGCGCGCCTAGCACTCACGATCACTCACGAACCACGGAAAGTGAACTGGCAGCGCTGTGCACTGGCTGTGCGCAAAAACCATCTCCGGGTGTTCAAAAGCAAAAAGCGACGTAATCGGCCAACAAAGCATCAGACAGTACCCCGGCAGAGAACCGCCAAATCTGGTGGCCAAGCAGGCTGTGACCAGACGGATCTTTCCAACATGCGTTGTATTCCGTAGTCGGCTATCAAAGCACCAGAAGAAGCAATCAAAACTAAATGAGTCGGCACCTGACGTAATACGTGCAGGATCTTCCTCATGCGTATCAGATGAGGCCATCCCTACACAGTTAACAATAGTTAACATACCCAGGATGTCCAGACACCTTCGTCGAGGTGATATTTGGGACATCGAAGCAACTACAATAAAATCAACATTAGTGCTCACTTGATCCATGAGAGTCGTAGGACCTCCGCACTCAAAGACACACCGCTTTTAGATCAGTCACTTGCTTAGGAACTGCCAAGTCAGGATGCCGGAGTCAGGGTTATATGATCCAACGACACGTCGTTTGTGCATAACCCCTCAACGTAGGACTTGCAGTGTTACCAGCTTTCAATTTGATGACGCGCACCTGGAAAGCCAGCGCCTTCATGAAGCCACCCTAGCCGCCATGACGGGTGCTGGGGCTGTACAAATCTTCCGCGCTTTGGGGCAATTTGGCCCCTTCAAACATTATGCACGCACACACATACATACATACATACATGTATAATATATATATATATATATACATATACATATACATATACATATACATATACATATACATATACATATACATATACATATACATACCAGGAGCTTCGAAACGATGTGTGTGGGTACAGGGGAAGAAGAGTGATGTATTATGAAAGCAAC